GAAGAGCCTGCTCTGGTGGCTGCCCTGTGTACGGAGGGGTCCGGGTCAGCTTCCCAGGCTCTGTGCCCTGAGCCTGGGGGCAGGCTGCCTCTCCCTGGGCTGGAGAAGTGGCCTGGGGGCCCAGGAGGAGGGGAGCACCCCTGTGCCCTCCCTGCCACCATTGCCATTCCAGAACTCGTTCAGTGTTTCCTTGTCTGGGGGCCAGGGCCCAGAGAGAGCACGCATCTGGTGGCTGCTATCATTGCGTTCTACCCCGTATCAACCCTACACCACAAGGGCTTTTTCTGGTCCCCTGGCCCCGAGACAATGGTCCCTTTCTGACAAAAGAGCCTGCACATGTGGGTGAGCAAACCCAAGCTGTTTACAGCTCTTTTGCCCTGCCATCCAGTAGCAGTTAGTCTTCATCTCCACTCGAACAAAATGCAAAGAACCAGGAGCCGGCTGAGAGGAGTGGGGCAGTGGGTGCCTGACGTCCCCACCCTTCCCTTCCCTCTGTGTGCTCTGAACATTCCTTGTCCTTCCTGACCCCCTTCCAAGTTGCTGGGAACCTGCTCGGGGTCACCCCTGAGTCTGGGGTGTGGGCTCACAGATCCCCACTGTCCAGCTTGGAGGACGCCTCTTCCTAAAGGGACCTGATCTCTAAGTTGCTCTGAAATGGAGTTGTGGAGAGGAGATGCTTCCAGACTCTCGGAAGTTTCTAGAACTGAACCAGGCTGCTTGGGTCCTGTGTTCGAATTCCTCTCCTCCCCCACCTTTTTCTTTGTGGAGGTTCCTAATCTGCTGCTGAAGCACAATATTTTGGTGCTTTCTTTTCTCATTTGTTAAAGACAGTGTCCAAAAGCCATTCCAGATGCCAGGACCAGGGGCCTATTTCTGGGGAAGGTTGGTCAGTCCCCACATTTTCCTCCCCTTCCTTTCTTATTTTTATTTTTTACTTTTTGCCTGAAACAAGCCAGGTGTGAGGTGATTTAAGAAAAATCAATGAAATTGTTTACTATTGTTTTAAAATAAAATCTTGAACTCTGGCGGCTTGAGCGCACGTTGACTGAGCTCATGGGAGGAGGCTGGGGGTAGTTGTGGGGACATGTGATCTTCAGGGGCAAGGATACGGTAAAGACCATAAAATCATGAGCATCTCCAAGACATCCAGTCCCTTCCAGCCCCCAGAGCTGGGGTTTGAATGGCCTCTGCGACATTTCCCTCCAGAGTCTGAGGACCTCACTGCCATTCAGTCAGGATGGTCCCCCGTTTTCAGTCCAGTCTGGCTCTCCTGTGGTCCTGGCTGGCTCTGCCCTCAGCCTCGTTCCTCCTCCATGTGACAGCCCTTGAGGACGGGGACAGCCTCTGCCAGGATGAACACCTCCACTCCTTGTTTAACTCAGTGTTACTTGAGCACATGGACAGGTGAGTATCTTGCTTTGGAAGAAGAAACTGCAAACTGAGCCAGGTTTTTGGAGGCCTTGTTGGAGCAAGATGATAAGTGAAACCCAACAGCTGGCCTGAGGCGGGGAGTCTGATCCTTGATGCATTAAACAGATGCAGAGCACTGCACTCGCAGGGTGAGGGCGAACCCCAAGTGATCCCGTCCTCACCTGCTTGCAGGCTGGGTGTGGGTCCTGCACGGACCCCTGAACCTCAACATTCATTTAAGGTGGCTGCACTCCAGGTGTGGGGCAGAAACGAACCCATCTCTGGAGGAGGGAACCTTCAGCCTAGACTTCAGTTATTTGTATAAATAGTTTTTAAATGACAGTGAACAAAATAGAGACACAGATGGCCGGGTACAAAAGGAAAGGATGGCATGACTGAGAACCAGCGGGAGACAGATAATAGAAACAGACCCCCAGATGCCTCAGATCCTGGAATGATCAGGCACAGGCTGTACATTATTTTACTGTTTTAAAGAAATAAAAGACAAACTTGACCATTTCTGTAGAGAACAGGAAACTTTAAAGTGAGCCCTGGCATATTTTACAGTGAATCAAAACTGAAAAATACAATGGCTGAAAAACAAGGGCTCAGTAGGGAGGTCTGACAGCAGACTCAACACAGCCCATGAGGAAAACTGGAGGATAGGTCAGAAGAATCCAGAACACCTCAAGGAGGGAGGGTGGGAAGGGGCTGTCTGGTGAGCCCTGGGTTGTTCTGAGTCCCAGCTGAGCTCGTGGCCTTCACTCCAGTGGGCACCCACCTGCACACCCCGCCCCCTGCCTTGCACTCTTGGAGAACCGACAAGCTCCCCCACTTGTGAGTAATCCAACCCAGCCTTTCCCATTCAGTCAGTCACCAAGTCTCCTTCACTCCAACTCACAAGTGTCTTTGAAATACTTTCCTCCACCTCTCGGGCCACTGTGGGTCCAGGTCCCACCTGTCACTGCCTCCGGGCAGCCAAGCCTCCCTACAGGTTTCCGTCATCTCCAGCCCTGTCAGGCCCCCTTCCAACCATTCCTCAGCATCTTCCTAAAACACCCTCCTCCGTGTCTCAGGATAAAGCTCAGGTCTTTAATGTGGCCCTTGTCTGGGGCTCTGCTCCAGGCCTTCCCTTGATTCCCACCACTGCACTTTCCCAATGAAGACAGCCAAGATCAAGTTCATGCCAACGCAGACAGACACACTGTAGGAGATCGAGGTAAAAGCCAAGTAATTTTCTTTTTTTTTTTTCCCTTTTTCTCCCCACAGGCCCAGTAGATAGTTGTATGTCATAGTTGCACATCCTTCTAGTTGCTGTATGTGGGATGCCGCCTCAGCGTGGTCTGACAGCAACGCGTCAGTGCGCGCCCGGGATCCGAACCCGGGCCGCCAGTAGCGGAGCGCGCGCACTTAACTGCTAAGCCATGGGGCCGGCCCCCCAAGTAATCTTTAATTCATTAATTTTATTACATTCTCAACTTTCAAATGATGTGTTGCACAAAATATATTAATTTAGAACAGTTCTTTTCCACCACATTTTGCAAAAAAAAAAATCAAATCAGTTCTTCGTCTGTGTCTGGGCATCAGGGTCTGGCTGCCCCGGGACCACCTCTGGGTCAGCTGACCGGATTCTCCTGGGTCCACTCACTGAGCAGTCTGAGAGACAGCAGCACCTTCTGGGTTGCATGGGCAATGCTGTCACTGGAAATTTTATCTGAAGCCACAAGTGCCCACTGGCATAACGTTCAGGCAGTTGGATTTTAAAAATCGATGGTGTAGGAGTGTGTGACCCCAATGCCTCTCTCCTGTGTGTTCAGAGACCTTGAAAGCTCTTGCTTGTCCTGCACCCACTGTTGCAAAGTGTGAGAACACAGGTCACACCCTCGGGAATACTGACTAAATCTTTACTGTTTCTTTGCCTTTTTTCCCCCACCTGTTCCACCAGGGGCCCTCTAAGCAACCCATCTAACACTGATCGGGGTTGTGTACGTGCTAAATGTGTCTTCCCCGAACAGTACTGAGCGGCTCTAAAGAAGTGAGCGAGTCTCCATATTATGAAACCTGTAACAACTCCAATGCAAGGAGATGCTCTCACTTCTGAAAGGTAATTTTTTGGGGAAAAAATCCTGCTTTGTATTCAGACCCAGAGGGTTCTCAGAACTTGAGTTTGGGGAGTCCTGGGTGTCTGCCCACGTGGCGTGCTGGCCTGGATCCCTCTCCCCTCCCCTGTTGCCCAGGGCTGGGTGGGGGGCGGCCCCACCCTGGCACAGCTCATACAGCACTCCCTCAACTCCTGCTGTGGGCCCTGCTCCTGGGACCCCCAGGAGCCCCCAGAGGGAGCAGCACACCTCCACTGCACAGATGAGGAGACCCAGGCTGGGGGACACCAGGGGCCAGCCTAAGCTGAGCAAAGCCTGCGTGCTGTCACGGTAGAATTCTCTTCCAGGTCCTCCTGCTCACGGCCCCTGAACAGGCACTCGCGTCCTTCTTGCCCTGGCCTCACCCCACCCTGCTGGCCTTGCTGGGGTCCTGAGGATCCGCCAGGCCTAGGACAACACCCACTTCCCCCATTGTCTGGGCTCCACTTCTTGTTGCCTGGGACTTTGGGCAAGTGGCATGCTCTCTTGGAGCCTCAGTTTCCTCATCTGAAAAACGGAGAAAACCACTAGACCCTCTCTATATGACTGCCGCAGGTCAGCCAGGCCTGAAGCACCTCACTCACAGGCGACCTTTCCCACCCTTATCACCTTGGTATCTGCTCTTGGGTTTCACCTGTGCCTTCCTTAGGGCCAGAGCATCCCTCTGAGGGAGACTGTTTTCTCTACAACAGCCCAGTACACTTTGGCAGGACACCCTGCCTCTGCCAGGTGCATGGGGCTGGGGGCAGATACAGGGTTCTGGTCAGGTGGCCACATGGCCACATAGGCAGTGGCTAGGGCTGGGAGTGAGAGTGCCCGCTCGGCCACCACTCCTGCTGGGCTCAGTGCGGGGCAGCAGGATGAGGCCTCGGGCCCTGGGTATCCGCCAGACTCCAGTTCACCAGACCCGAGGCTACAGGGCCCCACAGACCCCTGGGGGAGTTGTCCCCACCCACAGCCCATGGGACTGGAGATGCCCGAGTCACGGGTAGGAGGGAGTTGTCTGTGAACACAGCCCTGGGTCCGGGGCCATTCTGGCCCAGAGACCTGAGGTCGGAGCTGGCCCCTTGCTCCCTGACCCAAGCCTGAGGGCCCTTCCTCTTGGCTCCTCTGGGAGCCCTTGGGCCCACCGGCTGCTTGGACACCAGCTCCCAGATGCAGGGAAAGCTGGAAGGCAAGGCCAGGCTTCTGCCCCCACCCTGCCCCCTCCTCGGCTGAAACACCTCTTCACCAAAAAATGTCCCCTTTATTAATTACCTCACATGTTACTATGGTACAACCCGGCACGTGGGTCAGGGATCGAGCTGAGTGAGAGCAAGCGAGCTGGGGCTCGTGAGCCACGTTATCCACAAAAGCATGGCAGCCACGCGGGAGAGGGCCCCATGTGCAGGGCGGGCTGAGGTGAGGCCTTGGGCTACCCCTTCACCAGTACCCCTCACACCCTGGCCTCTCAGCCTTGGCGGGCCTGGAGCCCCCAGCTCCAGATAATCCTGTCTCCAGGTCCTTTGAGAGCCTGGGGATTGGGGAACAGACCCCAGGCGTGCAGATGGCAGGGACTGGGCAGAGCTGAGCTAGCGAACAAAGGACCTCCCAGTGTCCCACCCGGACAAGGGATGGGCTCAGCTGGTTCCTTTCCCTGGAGGAGTCCTCGAAGGGTGATATGCCGGGCGCCTGGCCCTACGTCCTGCTCAGCCTCTGAACTCAGCCCCGGACTCGGCCCTGGCAGGTGCTGGGGATGATCCACGGAAGGCACTTGGCTCCGGCCTGCAGGCCCCGCCGGGGGTTGCTGTCTCTGGTTCAGTCAGATCTGCGGGGCCCGGGCGAGAGGGAACAAAGGAGTGCAGCCCTGGGGGCGGCCCACCCCAAGGTGGCTTGGCTGTGGCATTGTGGGCCCGAGCCTGGGAGGCTCAAAGCTTGGCCCGGGGGTGGCTCTGCAGCAGAGCACGCATGTCGAGGAGCGCCTTCTCCAGGTAGTGCGCCAGGCGGACGGCATTGGTCTCCGCACAGCTGTTGTAGGCCGACACGGAGAAGTTGATGTGGGCCTCCATGGGGTTGTAGCAGACACCATAGCCGTCGGGGACCACGGGCCCAAACAACATGACACAGTCTGTCTTGGCGGGGACCTAGGGATGGCACAGGACCGAGGCTCTTGTCCCTCCCCTCCCCTCCAGCCCCATGGGAGCACCAGCCTGCCTTTCCACGTCTCTGCTCCCACTGTGCTCTGCCTGAGATGCCCTTTCCTCTCTGCCAGCAGACGGGTTACTCCCTCTCATCCTTTAGGGGGCAGTTCTGGTGTCACCCCTCCACGGAGCCCTCCTCGACATTCTGGGGAGGGCTTGAACTGCTCCCTCCTTGGGGCTCCCCTGAGCCCCCAGCATGTCCCAGGGGGCCGTCACTGCCTCAGTCCCCGTGCTTCCTGCTAGACCATGAGCCCCTGGGGGCAGGAATGGTGGTCTGTCCCTGCTCTATCCCGTGCCCAGCACAGGCTGGCATGGATCAGACGTTCCTTTGTGTCTGACTAGTGAATGAATGAAGCAGATTCTTCCAGGGGGGCCCTGACTTCCCCTCAGCCTGCCCGAGCTGCACTGAAGCCCCCGACCCCAGCTCCTCTGCAGAATCAGCTGCTTCTCATGGGCCTGTGGTGGCCCGGGCGCCCACGTCGCCACCAAGGTCTGCCCACATTCTGGACTTGGGCTCCACCACTGCAGCCTTTGTCCAGCTCTAGCTCCAGTGGGCTCTGTTCCAGCCCACCCCAGGCCCCTGGGGCAGGGGCAGAGGCCTGGAGGGCAGGAATCCCCAGATGGCCCTGGGGCAATGGCCCACCTGGCTGGTGGAGAGGTTGAAGTGCATGGCGATGGCGTAGGAGGTGTCCATGAAGATGTCCGGCATGCTCACCAGGTCCTCAATGGCCTGCAGCTTCAGGCCCAGCAGGTGCCGGTCGAAGGCCTCCCCACGGATGGCCTGCGGGAGGGGGAGCTGTCAGGAGCGTGGCTGCAGGCCCACAGGGCACCGCCGTCCTCCTCAGAAGCCGTGGCAGCGACACCTCTTCCATTTGCTGGCCCCTTGGACCCCTGAGACCAGAGCATCCAGGCAGGAGAGCCCTCACTTCACAGACAGGGAAACTGAGGCCCAGGGAGGCAGGACAGTTCAAGAGTTAAGAGCACAGGCCTGCAGCTGGGTGGCCTGGCTCCGTCCTGGCTGTGGGACCTTCGCAGGTCACTTATATCTTGGAGCCTCAGTGTCTCCTCTGTAAAATGGGAGCCGTCACTGAACTCCCCTCACAGGACGTCTGCATGTAACATGGGCAGAGTCTGGCACACACAGGCGCTTGGAGCCTGAGCCGGATGGGAACCCAGACCTCGACCCTCTTGACTACAGCCCAAGCTGTCAGAGGGCGGGAACCCTGCTGTCTGCCAGACCGTGCGCACCCTCATCCTCCTGGGCTCCAGGCCTCAGGGAGAGCACGACACAAGACCCAGAGGCTAAGCCAGGACCAGGGCAGTCACTGGGCTCAGCCTCGGTTTCTCCAACTAAGAAATGGGGACATTCAGCCTTGCTCTGGGTGCACCAAAGCTCAGGGGAGGGGCAGTTGATGCTAAGAGCAGCTATTTGCTGCAGGAATGGACAGATGGATGGACAGACAGGTGGGAAATGCCACAGGTCAAGCAAGTAGGGACAGAAGGGACTCACTCACCCGGTCAGTGTAGGCTCGGTGGGCCTGCACGGCCTTCCGCAGCAGCTCCACCTTCTGGTGCTCCTAGGGGGTCCGGGTAAGAGGGAGTTCAAGTCCCTTCCTTGTTCCTGCCACCCACCTCAGTAGCCCACTCCCCACCCAGCACCAGATTCTGAGCTCCTTGAGAGCAGGAACTGGAACTGACATCTCTCTAGTGAGTCCCCAGCCCAGGCCTGACATAGTGCAGATGCTTGCTGCTGATGAGTGAATGAATGAATAGTTCCTTTTTCTCTTTGGCTGCCAGGAAGCTCAGGGCTAAATTCATGGCTCCATCTTCTGTTGGATTCCCCTCGCCCAACATAGGGCTGGAATACGGTAGGTGCTCAATCCAGGTGTGTTGATAGAATGAACAAGAAGAGAGATGGCTCAAGCCCAGCTCACCTACCCTCACCCTGGACCTCTCACCGTCACATTGGAGTCATCCATGGCTTTGACGAAGTTCAGTGAGTCCATGGAGGCTGAGCGGATGGTGTCAGTGCGGCCCAGGTGAAACATGCGCAGGGAGGCGCTTTCATACGTGGCACACGCCTGCCCGTAGATCCTGGGATGGGGGGAGATGGGGCTAAGCACAGCCCTGGCAGGTTGCCCCCACCTCTGCCCCCAGGGCTCACCCCTCCTTCGTGGGCGGGCGCGGCGGGTGCACCTGTAGTAGGCCAGCTGTAGTGCCATCTGGATGAAGGCGTCTGGGCTCAGCTTCTCCGACTTGGGGAAGTCTTTCCCAAAGTGATGGAAGAACATCATAGTGATGTCCAGGTCCTGGATCATGCTGGGGGGGACGTGGGCAGGTGAGGAGCGGGTTCCTGGTGGCCCCTGTCAATCCCAGGGAGGGCCCAAGAGCACTCTCAGAACCAGCCAGGTCGAATGGTAGACCTGGAGCACCAGCCCGGCAGCTCTGCCGCCCAGCGCCCGGCACTCACATGCTGAGGTTCTGCTTGGCCTTGTCGATGTCGCTCTTGATCTCAGGGGTGATGTTGAACCGTAGCTTCTTGGGCATGGGCAGGGGTACCATGGGCGACCGCACGAGCTCAGGCTTCTTCCTGCATGAGACAGGGGGCATCAGGCTCATGCTGGTGCCTCGGGAGCCTGGTCCACCCCTGGGATGAGGGTGGGGAGGACGGGTCCCTGAAGCTGGAGGGGGCCAGCCCCGGGAGACTCTTCGGTTTGCTTTTCTGAAAACTGTTTCACTCCGTGGCCAAACAGAAGACGCCTAGAGAGGGGAACAGACTTGTCCAAGGTCATGGAGCTGGGAAGTTTCCGAGCCAGAATTCCAACCCTGGTCTGAGCAACTCTAAAACCTATGCCCTCTTCTGGCTTCCTTTGAAGAAACAGATTCCCAGGCATAAGGGAGAAGCCAGTCTGCCACCCGTGTGTCACCTGTCACTGGAGCTGGGGGCTGGGTGGAGGCTGGGGGACCCACACTCACGTGAATTCGATGACGTGGTCCACAAGGGCGATGATGGGGGGCCCCTCCGCTGTTGCGTGCTCGTAAACGAGCCCACAGGAGCCATCCTCTGCCACGATGAACTGTGGAGGAAATTGGGCACCCGTCAACCAGGTCCCTGGAGCCACTCTCTGGTTGGGTCCCACCAGAGAGGGGAGGGTCTCTCTGAACCGTTATGAATAACAGCTAACACTCATCAGGGACCCATCCCAGGCCACACCAAGCATGCCCCGTGCTCATACACCTCATTGAGTCCCTGCAACTACCCTACCGGGGAGTCCTGCCACCCCCCCCATTTTACAGGTGCAGAGAGGGAAAGTCATGGCCAAGATCGTGCCTCTTTGCCTGGCCCCGCATCCCAGGCTCTCTCTGATGTGCTGAAGGGGTGTGTTGGGGGTGACAGCAGTTTCTGGGCCAGGTCCAGTAATGACAGGCTGACTGGCCGGTAATGACAACCGCGTCCACCTGCTGGCTTCCCACCAGCTTTACAAGCTGGGAGGCTGGGACGCCCAGGCGACGGGCAGGAAGTCCCGAGGCTGCAGGGGGCCGAGTTTGGGTGTGTGTCTGGCGTGGGAGTCATGGCCCTGCCGGGTCCTCACCTGCAGCGTCTTGTCGAACCAGCGGTTGCCACTGTTGAGCTTGCTGCCCCCGCCGTGGAGCATCTGGCCGGCCACGTGGCTGCGGTACACGTCTTCCGAGACCCGAGGCACGGGCGCGTCCAGGCACACGGTGAAGATGCTCTTCTGGATGGAGCGCACCGAGTCCCGGTTCACCTTGTCTGTGGAGACGCGGTAGGGGAGGCACAAGATGGGGGTGTCAGGCCTGCGGAGGCCTCCAGAACATTCACCAAGTGCTGGGAGCTGGCTTCAGAGCTGAACACTCGCCCGGGCCCTGCAGCCCCACAGCACCCCATGAGGCAGGGCCCAACACCTGACCCACTTTAGAAATGAGGAAACAGAAGCCCGGGGTCACCGGAGAGCCAGTGCGGCAGACAGGGATCCAACACAGCGGTCTGACTCCGGGGATGACACCCTTGACCGACAAAGGATGTGGGGGGAATGTGGAGGTGGAGCTGGGCTCCTCAGCCAGAGGACTGGACTCGCATTGCAACTTGCTACTTAACAGAGGGAAACTAACTTAACCCAGCTGAGCTGAGTCTCCTCAGCTGTGAGATGGGGCCAGCAGCACCCACCCCGAGTGGACAGGACTCAGGGCCTGGTGTGGGCAGGGGCCGGGATGTGGGCTTCCCCTCATTCCCGGGGGCACCTCTGATGAGGGTGTTGTACGCCTTGGCCCAGGAGTTGCGGTGGTTGGAGGTGAGGATGCCCACAGGCTCTTTGTTGGTCTGCAGTGACGAGTTCCAGATCTTCTCGAGCTGCGTGAAGATCTGATCCGAGGTCAGGGGCGTCCCATCGCTGTGGTACACATCCAACTCAAAAAACTGTCGGGCACAGGCAGGTGGAGAGGAGGGGACTGCTGGGGTCTCAGACTGGCAGCAGTCACCTCCCACCCCAGCCTCCTCCTGGCCTCGGCGGCCCCGAGGTCAAGCCAGCGCCATCCCAGGCCCAGCTGAGGGGACGGGGTCAAGCCAAAGGTGAGACAGGGGAGGAGATCTTTGCATTGCTTTCCCCAGGCTGGGCAGGCCCACAGCTCCTCCTGGCCTCCCTCAGGCAGGGGCCTAGCCGGGCACCCAGTGGAGATGCCCAGGGCACGCCTGTTCCCGGGGGCACACAGGCATGTGAGCTGGGGAAGCTGACTTTTGGCCTTGCCCCTCCCCCCGTGTAGCAGTGTGGGGGCTGAGGCCACGGGGGCCCACCCACTTGGTAGTTGTGCACCACGGTGATGTGCATGGGCGGCTTCTTAGTCTTGCTGAAGTTGGTGACCGAGTCCTGCTTGGGGCCCGGCAAGCGGCAGGAGGACAGGATCTGATAGTACTGGTTCATGCACAGCGGCTTCCCCCCCAGGTACTCCACGGGCAGGGTCTCGCTGTGGGGGCAGAGGGATGGTAAGTGGGGAGGAGGGCAGGACCAACGGGGAGCTGCTGGGCATGGCTGGGGGCTGGGCCAGGCTTAGTGGAGGCTCACACAGCAGCATCGGGCCCCTCGTGTCCCTACTCCCACTCAGCATGAGCAGGGGGTCTGACAGAGCTGGGCTGGGGTCAGGAGGCCTGCATTCCACCCTGGATGGGCCCTGCTTGTGAGTCACCCTGGAAACTTCCTTCCTCTCTCTGTGCTTCAGTTTGCCATGGAAGACACGCAGCCGCGAGTGAACTTCCGAGGTCCTCCTTGGCTGGGATGCCAATTCCAGGGGTCTCTCGGATAATGTCACCAGGAAGAGGTCCCAGCAGCTGGAGCAGAGGCCCGAGGCGTCCCAATCCCCACGCTCTGTCTCCCCAACCCCAACAGAGGCCAGACCAACAGGAAGTGAAAGGGACTGAGCTCTGGGCCTGCCCAGCACCCAGGCTGACGTGTGGGGCCAGGGCTTGGGGTCGGGCTGCCCCAGGCTGCAGTGGCTGTAGTAATTAGGTAGGCGGGGCAGGGGCGGGACAGGGCTGCTCACTTGTCAATCATGGCCTTGAAATCCAACACACCCTCGATCAATTTGGCAGCGAACCTGGAGGGACCAATTAGAGATCAGAAGCTGTGTGAACACCCCAACAGAGGGGGGGGTCCCTGGGTCAAAGACCCCTGCTGGGTGAAGGGAGAGGCCTGGTCGAGGAGGTGATCAATCGCTTCACTCCTCACTCACTGTCTGCAGAAAGCCAGAGGCAGTTCAAGCACAGGACCCATGTTCAAGTCCCAGCTCACCCTTCTGAGCCTGCCTTCTTATAATTTCTCGAGGAAGGGCTGCTGTGAGGGTTCAGGGAGATGCTCTTGGCCAAGCATCTGACAGGACTTAGGTGCTAATAAATGGCAGCATGATTATGGCCAGATTATGGGTCAGTGCTGGCTGATTCCACCCACAAAGGGCCTGAGGCCCTGATCCATATAGCCTGGAGTCTGGAAGGTCACCCTGCTCTGAAGCATCAGTGATGGAGGGACCTGGGACCTTGGGGCAAGGGAGTGTGAATGGGAGGGCAGTGGCTTGAGGTGTTCCCTTTGCTAGGTCCCTTCCTGTTTCTGGGCCTCTGTGTCCTCCAGGCCACCTCCCTCAAGCTGGCCGTCCTCCCTGGACTGTCTGGGCCACACCAACCACGCCCAATGCCTGGGGCTGCCCCTGGCCCCCAACATGGGGACCAGGAGCTAGAGTTCCCGGGCCTGAATCGCCCCTTCCTGGGGAGCCCTGGTCCCTTTAAGAGAAGCAGGTGGTGGCCATGAGTGGCTGCTCCTTGGGCAGGAGATCCCTGCCACTGGTATTTTTATCCTAGGTAGGACTGGAACAGAGGCCAGGGTAAGTGACACGACCGAATGTGGAAAAGGGGACTGTGTACAAAGGTCACTCCTGTGGCCAGCTAAGGAGAGAGAGAAGGAGGGGGGAAGAGCCAGAAGTGGGGTGAGGGGTAGCTGCAGGGTTAGGGGGAGGCAAGGGACTCAGGCCACAGTTTGGTGGCTAACAGTCATGAAGCTCTGGAGCCGAGAAGACCTTGCTTCCCGTCCCGGATAGGCCAATCCTGAGCAGTGATCTTGAGCAGGTCCCTTCACTGCTCTGAGCCTCAGTTTCCCCATCTGTATAATCGGGATGATGCTCCCTACTTCACGAGGCTATTTGTGGGGAGGGAAGATAATGAACAGGGCTGGGGCCCCTCCAGTCTCGTGGGGGAAGTGGACTGCAAGGCCCTGGCAACGCCTAGAGCCCTGCTCCTGCTCCTCTGGGCCTGCCCCAGCCTCAGCCGCTCACCGGAGCTGTCCCTGCAGATCCACAAAGTCCTGCTTGGGCAGCACGACACCAGGGCTGGAGTGGATGACCAGGGGCTGGCGGTACTGGAGGTAGGCCGTCTTGAGCCACCACTCGGACAGCTGGAGGAAGGACCAGAGTCTGTGAGGACGGGTGGGCAGGGACCTGGAGCCCCATCCCTACTAGAGCCAGGGGATCTGGCTGGGCCCCCTCGACCCCCTCTATGGGGGGCAGATTCTCAGGGTGAATGCTCAGATCTAGAACCCCCACTCCCTTAAACCCACCAGCAGCATCCCATCATCTTCCCCTTAGCGTGAGCCAATCAGCATTAGCAAGAGAAATCAGACGACACTGCCGAGCAAAGAAAGCGAGAGAAAAAGTGCTCTCAGGAAAGCCGGTGGCGGGGAGGCAGGAATGTGGATTCTTTTTCTTTATCTTATAAATCTTTGGTCAATGATTTCACTACTTTTAGAAATAAAAATGTACTCCTGATAGACAGAAAGGCAAAAAAGAGAAAGATACATAAAAAGAAAGTTTTTGCCCGTCCCAGGTGGGCATCCTCCCGGGAGGCAGGAGCCCAGGGTTCAGTGCGGCCCTCAGGACCCTGGTCCTCTGTGGCCTCAGTTTTGTGGGTGTGGGAGTGGGGAGTGGACACCCACTTGGATCTCAAGGCCAGGGCGACCTGGAGGAAGCTCACTGTGAGGATAAGTCATCGCACTAGTGATAAGATGTGGGTCACCCACTCTGTAGCTCCACCCGGCGGTGTGTCCTTTGCCCGGGGTGGGGCTGTTTCCATCAGGTGAGCAGTGTCTCTCTGGTGACCAGCCATGGACATGCTGTTAAAGGCTCCTGTCTTGGGGCTGTGCGGACTCCCAGGTCTCACCCTTGAGCCTTCCGTGCTGACTGCAACATCCCCCTCACCGCAGCCCCCAAGTACACGGCCAGTACGCCTCTCCGGCAGGTCCTCAACCCCTGGAGACCGGGCCCCCACTGTGTTTCCTCACCCCATCTGAAACAGCAGCGGGACGCGCCTCTTCACCACACAGATTCCCCTTGGGGAACTGCTGGCCTGTGGCACCAGGCCACTAGCCTTGGGCCTTTGGCAAGAGGCGAGGGAAGGCTACGTGCCCAGGTTGCACAGCAGGCCAGTGAGCCTGAGGACATGGCCCCTGATCAGCCAGACCCTCCTGTGTAGCTTGGGGCCTCCGAGAGCCGCTGTGTGGCTCTGGGCTTTCAATCTACCTCCCTGGGCCTCAGTTTCCTCCCCTTGGGGACAGCTGGGCTGCTCTTTAGCCAGGAGCCCCCTCACCAGGCATCTCAGATCCTCTGGCCAGAGCTTGGGAAACAAAGGGAGACCCTGCAGACATGGGCATTCCCCCAGTGAGAATCTGTTGGGCAGTGGCAGAGCCCCTTAAGGGGCCCTGTGAGTAGAGAGGGGGTGCCCCAACCCCTTTAGCCAGAAGCTTCTGTTTGAAGAAAGAGTTCCAGGCTAAACAAAGTTGGAAAACTGCTGGATCCCAGACTCTCTAAGCACCTTCCGGGGCCAGCAGCCTGATTCTGGAGCTCAGTACATGTCGCCCACCAGTCACTGACTCTCCGTCCTCCGTGCAGCCCCCACTGTGCCACCTGCTCTCCTCATAGCACCTCCCACTTTATAGGGCCAGAACCCAGCTCCGGGTCTCTCCCGCACACCTGCTTCTCCCCCGGTCAGCCCCATCTCGGCAAATCGCCCTCTCCCTTCCCCCAGTGCCGTTAAGTTAGGCGAGGACTGCCCCTCCCCAGCCCCCATCAGCAAGTGTCATTGGTGCCGCCTCCAAAACATATCCTGGCCCGAATGCCCTTCCACCCTCTCCCTGCCAGCACCTCCCTTGGGTGATGGCACCTGCCTCCCACCAGCCTCCCACCCCACTCTCGCTTCCCTCCCAGCAGCCAGGGCCATCCTTTGTCACTTTGTGTTGAGGTATGAGACTCATACAGAAAAGTGCATGGAGCATCAGTGTAGACATATTTTCACAAGCTGCACACACCCGCGTGACAGATTGAGACACAGAACCAGGGTTATCCATCATCAACAACACAAATCCCCTGCCCGAGCATCGACTGAGTCCTTCTTGCTCACTCAGCACCCTGCCTGGTGCCAGGCACACAGTAAGTGCTCAAGAAACTCTGGCACAAATGAAGGCACCAGAACAGCAGGTATTGGAAAATTCTCTGTGTGCAGCCAGCAACAGGCCATGGGGGGATGCTCACAACCACCCGGAGCATCCGGGTCCCCTGTTCCCCCCACCCTCCGTGAGGATTTGGGGGACCCATGGAGCCTCCCTTCTTACCCAGTTCTCCGTCTTCCTGGCCCTGCGCTCCAGCCCCTTCTGCAGGCGCTCCCCTACGCCCCCGGAGGTCTGAAACTCCTCCACCAGCTGCCTGGTCTGGGCCCACTCCTCCTCGCTCACGATGGGCTGCAGCGCCTTGAGGTAGTGGTCCAGGGACTGCCGGAGCGGGGGCACGGGCAGCCGGGGCAGTGAGTCCTGGTGTGCCTTAAAGCGGCCGGAGACCCTCGTCAAGGAGGAGGGCTTGAGGAAGCCCAGGGGCTTCACCTGCAGACAGAACATCCTGCTCATTCTCTTCCGGCTCTGGGGCCATCCCAAAGCTGCAGTCCTGGCACTTATGTGCCCATCCGTGGGGGCAGGGACAGCCTCTTGGGTGGTGCCCGCCCTGGCTTTCCAGCCCAGAAGCTGTGGTTGTCTCCGCCTCTCAGGAGCCTGGAGACACAGGTGGGGATGGGGGGTGGGGGAGCGTGGCCACCGATCTTGGCAGGGCTCAGGGAAACCAAGTCAGGACGAATGGCACCTGTTGTGGGTGGCACAGGTGAGGGACCATCCTGGGGTGAGGATCCAGCGGGGGGTGAAGTGACTGCTCCCTCCCAGAGGTCCCCACCTCCTTTTCTCCCACCCTTGCCAGGTTGAGAAAGCAGGGGGAAGAAGAGAAAATCAGAGGGAGCCAGATGACGACAGCACCTTTGGGCGAGGGCGAGGCCTTGGACTTTCTCCTGTCTGTGGGGTGGGGGCAGGGGTGGCATGGGGGCAGCGATGCGGCAAGAGAGAGCTGAGTGGCCTGGCAAGGAGGGTGAGAGGTGGCAGAGGGAGACAGGGTGACAGGGTGCCCTGGGGCGGGCAGAAAGAGAGATGGGAGGGTCTAAGGCTGCTGGCAGCAGTGGGCAGGCAAGCTGCAGGGGTTCCGTTCCATACCTGCTCCTTCTGCTGCCCGTCCTCCATGGCAGGACTGAGGTTCTGAGCCCTGTCTGTCTGCCTGGGGCTGGATCTCTAAGCCTAACTGTGCTACCAAGTGGGCGAGCAGAACCTAGCAAGACACAGCCACTTGCCCCGGCTGGAAAGAGAAGACAAGAGTCCAGATTCAGGGGGAGGCAGAGGTGGCAGTGGCGACTGGCTGTCGTGGCTGTGGTGGCATCTGGGGTCGTGGCAGTGGCAGGAGCAGTTGCTCCACCTGTCCCGGCTTCCACAAGTGGAGGAATCGGGAGTAGGTGAGAGGACTGGCGGTGGGCACTGGAGTGGGTGGAGACCTGGAAAACTTTCTTCTCTGGATGGGCCCAGCACCAGGGAGACAAGCCCAGAGGTATTAAAAAATCCACCTGTTGAAATGTGCAGAGATCTGTTTGATGTGGGAAAACTTGGCTGGGGAGAGAAACTGCCTGGCTGCTGGGGTTAAACCACAACCCTGAAATCAGTCCTGAAAATTGGGGTTGGTGCAAGGGAGTAGACACTGGAAAGGCCATAAGTGCACAGCGGCTGCTAAGAGCCCTGTGCATCCCCCATTTCCCTCCTGCACTCTTGGGGGCCCTTCTAGGCTACCCTCCACCAAAGACTGGTTCTCTCGAACTATGGCTTATACAGCTGGGGGCCAAGAGTGGAGGACTTTGGGCATTAAAAATAAACCAAAGGTCGCGCACTCTGATTCGGCGGCCCAGGGTTCATAGGTTCGGATCCCAGGTGTGGACCTATACACTGCTTGTCAAGCCATGCTATGGTGGTGTCCCATATAAAGTAGAGGAAGATAGGCATAGATGTTAGCCCAGGGCCAGTCTTCCTCAGCAAAAAAGAGGAGGATTGGCAACAGATGTTAACTCAGGGCTGATCTGCCTTACACACACGCACACAAAAATAAATAAATAAATAAGCCAAAGGATGTTGGCTTTGGGATTGGGCTAGATTTGAGTCACCAGACCCAGGGCATTCTGGCCAAGTCTCTCTTTGCCTCAGTTTCCCTGGCAGTAAAGTGATCAGGCCAGCCCTGGTGGTCTAGTGGTTAAGATTCGGTGTTCTTGGGCCGGCCCCGTGGCTTAGCGGTTAGGTGCGCACGCTCCCCTGCTGGCGGCCCGGGTTCGGATCTGGGGCGTGCACCGACGCGCTTCTCCGGCCATGCTGGGGCCACGTTCCACATACAACAACTAGAAGGATGTGCAACTATGACACACAACTATCTACTGGGACTTTGGGGGAAAATAAATAAATAAATAAATAAAATTAAAAAAGATTCGGTGTTCTTGACCCCGGGTTCGTTTCCCGGTCAGGGAACCACCCCACCCGTCTGTCGGTTGTTATCTTGTGGTGGCTGCATGTTGCTGTGATGCTGAAAGCTATGCTGCTGGTATTTCAAATACCAGCAGGGTCACCCATGGTGGACCAGTTTCAGCAGAGCTTCCAGACTAAGACAGACTAGGAAGAAGGACCTGTCTATCCACTGCCGAAAAACTGGCCATGCAAACCCTATGAATAGTAGTGGAACATTGACATAGTGCCAGAAGGTGAGAGGATGGCGCAAAAAGGCTGGGCAGCATAGCACTCTGCTGTTCTCAGGGTCACTAGGAGTTGGAATTGACTTGACGGCATTAACAACAAAGAAAGTGATCAGGCCACCCAGCAAGTCCTGGATGATGACCTAGAAGCTGTCTGTGGGATGGGGGACACAGCTCAGGTGGCAATGGCAAGGGTGGGGTGGAGCCTTAGGGTCCTGGAAGACCTGGAAGAGCCTCTCTCACAGCGGCCAGCAGATGGGTATCCTCAGCCCTCTGGGCCTGGAACATTCTTCTTGGCATAGGGGGCAATACGAACAGATATGCTTGGAGTAGAGAGGAAAGGAATCCAAATCAGGATAGCAGCCCCGCTTCCTCCAGGCTGCCCTCTGAGGAGGAGTGGGGGCTGGATGTGGACAGGTTGGGGGAGAGACTGGTGGAGAGGGAGGGCATGGAGCTGCCACCTGCTGCCTCCTGCTAGTTCTGAGGACTTTCTGAGCAGCCCAGCTTGATGCCTCCACGTGAGTTTCTCTGGCCACACACAGTTGCCCAGGGGCCATTTGATAAGCCCAAGGAGGCTGACCAGCTGGATGGGGTTGGAGAAGTGGCTCAGGCTGAGTGTGCGAAGGGTGTGTGAGTCGGAGAATAACCGTGAGCGAGGCACTCCCTGTCTCTCAGCTCCCTGGCTCCGGGTCTAAGGGTGCTGCCTGAAGCCAAGGTGCTCTCTTTTCCGGGTCCTTGGAATTTAGCACCATTGGCCGTGGGTTCCATCCAGCCTCTGACCTTGAGCCCCAATCTCTTCCCCTGCCAAACGGGGGAAGCCCACCAGTCGACTCCGCCCCCGCACCTGCAGGCGGGGCTGGACCGCAGCTGCCCGGCCGCGTCGCCTCGATGGCAGCTGCATGGCTGGCCCGGCCCGCGACCCGCCCGCCCCGTCCAGGGCCCGCCAGGCCGGGCTCCCGGCCGCACTCACCACGGTCCTAGCTGCGAAGGCCAACATCCCTGCGGCCCGCCCGCGGACACACGGTCCGCTCCGCCCCCCGCGCTGGACAAAGTCCGCGCCTCCGCCGCCGCCGTCGGTGGGTCCCCTCTAGAGCTTCCGGGCCAAGATCGCCGAGTCACCGCCGCCACCCAGGAGACGCGGCCCCGCGCCCACCCTCGGGGCAGGGCGGGCGGCGGGCTGGGCGCCCCGGG